TCACTAAGTATTTCAACTCTTTTCATTAAGTGTTAGCAACTATTTGGAATTAATTTTTTTTTTAAGATTTTCTTACAAAATCATGAGTGCACATCACTGTGTATTATCAAATCATGAATTGCAACACTTAAAATATGTCACATCTTAATTTTTAACAATTTTAAATTTAAGGGATGAACCAAAATTAGAAGAGAGAAATATAAATAAAGTGATCAATTTCGTAAATAACTAAATAAAAAGGACAAAAATTATCATTAATTCTAAGAAATTAATTTGAATTTACTAAAAAGATTTCTCAACAATAATGAATAATAAAAAGGTTAAATTTGTTTTTGCTTTATGCTATTTGAGTGAATTCTAATTTTTTTAATAGTTTTTTAAAGATTCTTAATTTTTTTAAATAGTTGATTTTATAAAAAAAAAATCTTTAATACTCATAAATTCGGTTGGATAGTGATATCTTTAATGTAAATAAATTTAAAATAAATTAATATCAAAATATGGCATACTATTGAATATCATTATTTAGTTAGATAAAAATACCAATTTCCAACTCAATTCAAGATTATCGAAAATTTATGTGGAAGAAAACTTGTAACATGTAAGTAAAGGTTAAAAAGTGATGGTGATGCTAGTTTAAAATAAGAAAATTGTAGAGTAGTTGTTGAAACCACGGGGTGAGAATTTGGTTCTAGTGCTGAACAACTAACTAATGATGATCGTTGAATTTGAAGAAAACTTTTTGACACAAGGATAATGTTGGTGTTCCAAATCAAAACTTGAGACTTTTCTCAAGGTTTGAAATCTTGATTTAATAGTATTAAATATGTTACATCACCTAATTTGTAAGGATGTAAAAATATAGAAAAATTATAGAACTGGAAAACGTAATTTATTGTGTGGACTTTCTGTGCCATAAATATCACTAACATTTTAAGGATATTCTGTTTGATATATTTTGGTGAGTCAGAATATCTTTTAAAAAAGATACATTGTGAAATTATTTTGCTAATCCACATGAGAAGATCAACAAATACTCTGGTATATAAAAGGATAGGATGAAAATATGTTTATGTGAATTTGATTTAAGTTTTTTTATTGGTGAGATTGAAGACCTAATATTTTATTGTGGGACAAATAATTCTAAAAAATATTTTGTAATTAAATATGAAAAAAAATGTGTTTTGAGTTTTGATAATCTAACATATTTTTATACTATTTATTTTTGGATGCTTTTGATTTTCTAATACTTAAAACATTTGATTTTTTATAAAGAGTTAAAAAATTTATAAATAACAATGTTGTGTTTCTTACATTTATAAATTTTTTTTTTTAAATTGATTTTTCTATAAAAAATGATTATCTAATTTTTACCCGTTCACTCTTTTGAATTAAATATGTTTTTAATTATTATAAAATTATTAAATTTAATTTTTGGTTTCTATAATTTTTTCGTATTTTATGTCTTGTTACACCTTTTAACAATTATTATTAAAAATATGTTTAGAAGGTTATAAAAAAAATTTTAAAATAAAATTTTAAAATTTGATTTTTAGATCGAGTTATTTATTATTTTATAATTTTTATTTTAAAATTTAAAATTTTATATTTAATTTTTATTATTTTTAAAATTTTAACATTTAATAAATAAATAATTTATAGTATTTTAAATATATATAAAAAAATTCAAAAATTCAAAAATTTAAAGATAATTAAACAATTTTAAAAATTTTAAAAAATAACATAGATTAAAATTGTATGAACTAAAATATGTTATTTTTTTTATAAAAATTAAAATTGAAATTTGTGATATTTATAGATTAAAATATATTTAATTCTATTTATTATTTCGGGATAAATTTGGTTTTATGAATTTGATTGAAACTTAGCTTCCTTTGTTATAAAAGTATGCGTGCATATTACAGTAATTCAGAAAAACAGCACTGTCAGACAGTTGTTTTTAATAGTAAAAGTTATGTTGGAATTTTCTTCATTTTAATTGACCTATTGAACAATTAACCAATTCACTTTTATTTAATTTACCTATTCCAACAAGGGAAAGGACAAGAAGAAGATTCTAGGCGCTATAGATTCGAGATGTTTCTTTATGCATTTTCAGAAAATGACCTCAGCATACAAAATTATGAATTTGTATGTTTAATCCACCATTAAAATTTGCTTACTTTCAATTTTCATTTATAATACATTTTATATTTTTGTAAAAAGTTACAAAATAAAACCTATTTTTATGAGTTACAATATTATAAATGACTAAAATTTCAATTATTTAAGAATTAAACTTAAAAATTCGTAATTTTAAAAAATTAAAAGATGTTTAATCGTATAAGTAATAAAATAATATAGTTTCCTTTACCATAATATTCTTTAATAAATATTGACCCGATCTTGAATGTAAACAAACAACAATAAAAAAATATACTCTATCCATTTTAAAATAAATATTTAAAAAAATTTCACATAAATTAAAAAATATAATTATATTATTATAAAATATTATACTTTTATTAAATTAATCTTATTAATTTTTAAAAATAGTGTGTAAAATAATAATTATAAGATATAATTGAAACAATTATTATTATTATCACTGTATTAAAAAATAAGAATGATATTTATTTTAAATATTTTTTTTTAAAACGGCGTTCACTTTTTGAAACAAAGAGAGTACTATTTAAAAATAGTTGAAAACATAAGAATATAAAAAAAATCAAAAAAAAAAATAAATAATTAATTATGACATAAATTTAAAATAATGACATTAAATATATTTTTTTTCTGATTATATCTAAGATCCAGTACTTTTTTATTGTTTACATTTGAACAACAAAACCAGTCTGTCATACTCCACTAAAACAATATTTATCGAGTAAAAATAAATAATTAAAATAATAATGAATATTATGTGTATGAATGAATTTAATTAGTTATAAGAATGCATTATTTTGATAGGGATATTCATTAGATTGTAAGTGAATTAGAAAAAGTCAATTAAATTGATAATTCAAATTATATTAAATTAAAGTAAAATTATTTTTTGGTTTGGTTCTAAAATCAAATTGAATCAATGAAAACTAATATAATTCAATTCAATTCAATTAATGAATTGAATCAATTGATATAATTAATTATATTTTAAATTTTTTATTTTATCTATCATTAAGTTCAAATTTTATATCGATGCAACCATTATCTATCTTTGTTTTCACTTCCTTTCTTTCATCAAAATCTATATCTAGAACTAAACTCCAAAACATAGAAAGTAGAAACAATGAGTCACAAAAATTTGTTTTCATTGAACTGCTTCTCTCGCTGTCGGCCACAACCGTTGTTCTCTCTACTATTGTTCTGATATGTTATGACTGCATTCTTCTTATCCAAGTTCTCTTATTTAATTTTCATTTTTTTAACCTTTTCTTCTTCTTCTTCAACAAAATCCTTGTAGTTTTGTTACAAAATAGTTTTGAGATGTGTTTGAAGTGTGAAACATGTTAATTAATGTGCAATTTATTGTGTTCAATTTGTTAAATTTGTAAATTCATTCACAACCTTTTGATGCTAAGTGTCAACTTTTTTATTTGATAGTGAACTTATTTCATAATGTAATGAAAATCATGTCATTATTTCGTATGAATTAAGAGCAACTTGTAATTTATTTATTAAAAAAATAGAGCATAAAATAAATTACATGAAATGTATTATTTTAGAAAATAATAACATAAAATACACTGAAAAACGTGATAGTAGATGAATATAATATTTAAAAAAAAACATTATAAAATATTAATCGAACTAAAGTAAACCAAACCGATTAGTTTGGTTCTGTTCCATTTTAAAAAAATATTAAAAACCAAACCAAACCAAATCAATGGAAATATCATTGATTCAGATTTTTTTACCAAAAAATGGTCCAAATTAAACTGATTACACCCATAATACTCACTATCCATCTTCAATGGTGTATGTATAAATCAATATTTAAAAACCGGACCGGAGATCGAACCCGTGAAACTTCTAATTTAAGGTTTAATTGGTTAAACCTACGGTCGAACTAATAATATAAAACTAAAACTAAATTTGATAGATATGCCACACATAATCATGTTTACAACTTAATAAAATAAATATTTTAAGAATTCATTACAAATTTAATACAACAATATCGATAATATATATAATAACACAACATAGTTATACACTTTATTTCAATCTTTATTTAAGAATAATTTAAACAAATTAAAATAATTCAAACCAAAATTAACATAATAACTAATATAATGTTCAAATAATTAAAAATACTTAAATTAAATAAGATAGAATACTAAAAATAAACAATATAATATTTTAATTTTTGATAATGACGTATTAAACTTTTTAAAAAATGTATAAAAAAAAGATCTATTCGATGATTTTTTGAACCGGACAGTTTTACAAAATTGACTCCAGTTCTTTGGTTCGATTGGTTTTTAACGATTCAATTTGGTTTTTCCGGTTTTGATCCACTAGCGGTTTTAAAAGGTTGAACTAACCGTATTCATCTTTTGTTCCTAGTCCAACCGATTGAACCGACCGGTTCAGTCCGATTTTAAAAACATTAGTATAAATAGGATTAAAAGATTCATTTTGTAACGAACTGATATTGATTCTCATTAGTATAACAGAAAATATTGGAGCAACAATGTTATTTTCAATTTCACTTTATGTTCAATCTTGCACGGTTCTTGCTAATTGTATGTATATCACATGAGATTCAATATGGTATTAGAAGATTTTCTACTCAAATCTTGTGTTTTCTCTTCATTTCGCAAGCTTTGTTTTTTTCGTTTCCGTAATTTCATTCGATCTTTTTTCAAGATCTCTTGTTTGTCACCATAGAAAATCCTCAGTAGAATTTATTCTACATTCACCATTCGAATAAATTGGATCTTGTTCTCGTCTCACATCTTTTAATGGAGGAAAATTATCAATTGTGGTGTCGTACAATGCTCATCGCTTTCAGTGAGAAGAACGAAATTGGATTTATCAATGGCTTATTTTCGCAACCTCTTGATGGTGATCCTCAATATCTGGTCTGGCATATGAACGATATCATTGTTGCATCATGGCTCCTATATTTTGTTTCCAAGGAACTCACGGCCAACATCATATATTCTTCCACCGCGGGGACGATCTGGAAAGATCTTTGGGGGCATTTTCTCCAGAATAACGACCCTCATTTATTTCAGCTATGCAAAGATTTCATCATCTATACTTAACGAATTCTTTCTGTTGGGGATTATTACACCAAGATCAAGGGACTTTAGGAGGAATTAGCTGAATTTTTCCCAATTCACTATTGTGTTTATGGCGGTGTTGCTCCCTTGACCGATCAGATAAATTATGAGTATGTCTTAACCTTCTTGTTAGGTTTAAATGAAAGTTTCGATTAGATTTGCAGTCATATTCTTCTCATAGATCCTATGTATTCCATTAGTTGTATTTTCTATTTTGTCATTCAAGAAGAGAAACAAAATGTGATAAATGTTATTACTAGTGATAGTTCTAAAACTCTAGCTTATACTGTAAGAGATACTAATGCTTCCAAATCCAATATTGGGAAGAAATATAGACCTATATGCTTTCGCTATGGTGTCATTGGTCATATCAAAGACATATACTTCAAAATTCATGGTTATCTGCCAAGTTATAGAAAGGAAAAACCTATTGCTATTAAAAAATCTATTAATGGTGTTCACATGGACACCAGTGCTCATGAAACTCCACTAAATAATAGGTTGTATCAATAACTCATTACTTACATTCAGGGTCAGATGGCTGATAAATCTACTCTTGGATTATCTACTATTGAAGGTGACATTGTTGGTATGGTTTTTGCTTCCGTGCATCATAATGAATATCATGTAACCACTACATGGATAGTTTACTCAAGAGCCGCATTGAATATAGTTCATTCCTTGCATATGTTTAGTTAATATAAGTCTATTTCTAATAAGTTTATGACCTTACCTAATAATTCCAAAGTACTAGTTTATGCAATAGGAATCATTTCTATAAATTCTACATGGATTATACACAATGTTCTATATATTTCTAACTTCAGAGTTAATCTTTTATCAGTTGGACAATTGTTACAACCTTTCCTTTTGTCTATCATGTTTACTAATTCTAGGTTTATGATTTATTACACTCATACAGGGGTGGTGATTGGCACGAGTGAATTTGATCATGGACTTTACTCCCTAAAAGCTTAAAGTGAATATTCATATGCTCAACTTTATTTACATTCCAATAAGAATACCTTTGATGTAACAAATTTTAATTTTGTGTAATACTTTTTTTCTATTTAGACTTGGCATGATAGGATAGGCCATTTACCTGACTAGGTATTGAAAACTATTCATAATAAAATCCATGTTTTGTTTTCATTGAATTTTTCATCTAGTGAACCTTGTCAAATTTTTCTTCTAGCAAAATTTCTATGTTTACCTTTTATTTATAATAACAATCATATTGCATTTTCTTTTGATCTATATCATTGTGATGTGTGGGATCCTTTTTTAAAAACCTACCTATGATGTTTAACAATGTTTCTTTACTATAGTTGGTGATAGTTGAAGGTATACATGAATCCACTTATAAAAACTTAGTTTAACACAATTATCAAGGGAATTTGGAGTGACAATTCCAGAGAATCACAATTGAATAATTTTTTTGTAAGTTGAAGTGACAATCCACTAGTTTTCATGTCTTCACAGGCCTCAGCAAAATTCAGCGGTAGAAAGGAAACACCAACATCTTATATATGTGGCTAGAGCTTTGTTGTTCCAATCTGAAGTTCTTTTACAATTTTGGGGTGATTTCATTAACATAAATTCTTAATTAATAAATATGACTCATTCTCTAGGCTTGGAAAATAAATTCCTTATGAATTGGTATATGGTAAGCTTTCTGATTATGCATCTTTAAAGGTTTTTGGGTGCTTGTATTTTGCAGCCTCATTTCCTCGTTCACCAATTGAATTAACAAAATAATAATTTAATCATCAAACTGAATAGAGACTCAATTCTTATATTTTCCAAATGTTTTGTAAACTTTCCATTCTTCCAAATACACCTTCATTTTTCCAACCTATTCCTTCAATTATCTCACCAAAACCCAAAATCTTTTCTCATGTATCATCACCATTCTCTCACAACAGATCTCTAATCTCTTCAAACACAAACCAATTCTACAACTTCTACAAAACCAAGACAATGTAATTTATCCCTCTTCCCAAATTCCTTATCTTTAATTAAAACTTCACTCACAACCATAACCTCATCATTTTCCACTAAATCAATCATCTCACCAACCACCAAGTTCTATTGTTTCCGTACTGAAGTATTTAGTCATTTCACAATCCCTTCCATCAACACTGCCAGTCGTAACATTCTCCAAATCTCCTAACAAACCTAACTCTTCTCTCGATGCTGAATGGATCTCCTCCCATACCACTTGCTACTCCACCTCTGATGAAACTAGAGACACAATAGATGACGCATGTGGCTATGACAACCTTCCCTGAGACGGTTTTTAATTCAAGTCAACATAAGACAAAACATGTTAAAAATTGAAAATGAGTGATGACGGGAAAAAAATTGATCGAAGACAAAGACAAAATTGATTGAAGGATGAGATGAAAATGATTGAATATGAAAACAAATATATTGAAAATGAAGGCAAAATCTATTGAAGAATGAGATGTGTACTTGTCAAAAAGTACAACAATGCATGTTACCCCTGCAAGGGCAAGGGAACTTAGAGGCCTTAGTAAGTGTATAACAAATTATGGGGGCAAGGGCTTGCCCACATTGGTGAAAGCTTTAAGAAATTGTGTTTATAAGGATACTATGTATATGTGTCAGGTGCTTAGGTATAAGCATATGAATCAGGATATGTCCTTTTCTCCCCTCGGGGGAGAAGTATTTATAGAGTTATTTTGGGCCTAGAATTTAGGAAATCCTCAAGGGCGGAAAACGCTTCCCCCTGATTAGGGGAGACTGTTGACTACCTATTTTTCAGGTAGTCATGGTGTGACTCCTTCTCATATAATTGATAAGAGATAACAATATTGCACACATCAACTATCTCGAGGGCGAGCCCCCATATTCCGTGGAGATATCGCTTAGGCAAAATTACTCTAGGCAGGAGGGACCTAGGAGCCTCCCTCATTTGGGACCCTCACAGATATAACACTACAAGATGAAAATGATTGAAGACGGAAATAAATGTTGACAAAAAACAGAATTGATTGAAGAAATCAATTCAAGGTTGAGACGAAAACTATTGAAAATGAAAGTGATTCTTCTATTAGGGTTTGGATGAAAATGTTTTGGGGGAGAAAGAAGAACAAGTTTTTAAAGGTTTATGAATTTTACAATTTTTAATAACTTAAAACTAATTTGATTAATTATTTAAGTTATTATTAATATTATTAATATTAAGAAAATAAATTTAATATGGATGAAACATTATAATAAAAAAAAAGAGTAGCAATAATTTCAATCATTTGGTAATGACACATCATCCAGATAAGAGTCATGTCATTAAAATTTTGTTCCAAAATTATAGGGGACTAAAATGGAAAGACCAAAACTGAAAGAAAAAAAAAAGAGAATCAAAGTTGCAATTAAGCCTTTAAAAAATACAAAATGTTGTTGTTGATCATCGAACACATAATAAGTACAACTTTTTCTCTCACGTGAAAATTCGATTGAAGAGAAAAGTAACACATTGTCTATGACACCTTTTATTGCCTCGTCCACCAATCAGAGATAAAGAATTTTTTCTAATTGAGATGAAAAATTTCCCTCGTTTGTCTTAGCTATGCAAATGTTTCATCATCTATACTTAACAAGCTCTTTTTGTTGGGGATTATTACAAAAAGATCAAGGGACTTTGGGAGGAATTACTTGATTTTCGCCCAATTCACTATTGTGTTTATGGAAGTGTTGCTCCTTTGGCCGATCACATAAACTGTGAGTATGTCTTAACCTTCTTTTTAGGTTTAAATGAAAGTTTCAATTAGATTTGCAGTAATATTCTTCTCATAGATCCTCTACATTCCATTAGTTGTGTTTTCTATTTTGTCATTCAAGAAGGGAAACAAAGAGTGAAAAATGTTATTACTAGTGATAATTCTGAAACTCTAACTTATTCTGTAAGTGATACTAATGCTTCCAAATCCAATATTGGGAAGAAAGATAGACCTATATGCTCTCACTATAATGTCACTAGTAATGTCAAATACAAATGCTTCAAAATTCATGGCTATTCGCCAAGTTATAGAAAGGGAAAACCTATTACTAATCAAAAATCTATTAATGATGTTCACATGGACACCAGTGCTAATGACACTCCACTTAATACCAAGCAGTATCAACAACTCATTACTTACATATAAGATCGGATGGTTGGTAAATCTACACTTGGATTCTCTACTATTCAAGGTGACATTGTTGGTATTATTTTTTCTTTCTCGCATCATAATGAATACCCTTTAACCAGTACACGGATAGTTGACTCAATAGCCACATCGAATATAGTCCATTCCTTGCATATGTTTAGTTCATATAAGTCTCTTTCTAATAAGTTTGTGACCTTACCTAATAATGCCAAAGTACTAGTTTATGCAATGGGCACTAGTTCTATAAATTCTATATTAATTTTATACAAAGTTCTATATATTCCCAACTTTAGAGTTAATATTTTATCTATTGGATAATCGTTACAACGTTTCCTTTTGTTTGTCATCTTTAATAATTATAGGTTCATGATTTATGACACTCATAAAGGGGTTGTGATTGGCACGAGTGAATTTTCACACGACCTTTACTTCCTCAGAGCTTAAAGTGAGTCTTCATATGCTCAACTTTGATGTAACAAACTTTAATTTTGTTAATACCATTTTCTATTTCTACTTCGCATGATAGGGTAGGCAATTTATCTGACTATGTATTGAAAACTATTCATAATAAAACCCATGTTTTGTTTCCATTGAATTTTTCATCTAGTGAACCTTGTCAAATTTTTCTTCTAGCAAAATTTCATCATTTACCTTTTATTTCTAATAAAAATCATATTTCATTTCCTTTTAGTCTATATAATTGTGATGTGTGGGGTCCTTTTAAAAAACCTACCTACGATGGTTATCAATATTTCTTGACTATAGTTGATGATAGTTCATGGTATACATGAATTCACTTATAAAAACTCA